ATTTTACAGGATATTTGAAATTCCTTGAAAGTGAGGATTATATTTTATTCACTTTTAACCCTCTGCTCTCATATTAAGCATTAAGGAATTGCTGAAAATGAATTTCTGAAAACTGTATCCCTGTGTATCATTTTTAGTGCTGGAGAAAAGACAATGATGATAAATATGTCAATTATACTTCAGTTGAACAGGACAAACATTTAAATTTAAAAAAAGTTTTTAAAAATGTTAAACCAAAAGTGGAGAAAAATGTATATAGTTCTTTCCCTTAAGTGATGCATTAGATTAGTTCATTATTTAATAATCAGTTAATGATCTGAGTAGGGCCTGATAATCTGCATTTCTAATAAATTCCATTGGACTAAAAGCTGGCAATATAGAATGGCTACATGGTATAGTGAAAATTACAAAGGTTTTGAGGTGAGTCAGGTTTTGATTCTGCCTCTGCCCTTTATAGGCTCTATGTAGCAACAGTTGACATACATTAACCCCACTGAGCCTGTTTCCACATTGACAAAATAAAAGCAATGAACACCTCATAGGTGTATTATGATATGATATAATTAAATATCCAACACAGTGGGGGCCTTAGTTAAGGTAGTTAATTCATGTTGGTTCCCTTCCCTTTGATTTCCTCTAAGGATGCACCACACATTTGCCATAACTGGGTTTACTGTGACATGAGTTAGCCACATCACAGAACAAATAATTTTCTGCAAACCTCACAAACCATACACATCCCTCTGCTACTAATAAAATCTTCGCCATTCATCTATAAAACTGGGGATAATAGTATAATAGTATCTACTTTAATAATAGTAGGTAATAGTATCTACCTCACAGAGATGCATACATGAGGATTAAACAAGATAATATTTTAAGTGCTTAAGACAGTAACTAGCATATGGAAAATACACGGTAATGTCTCTTTCCCTCTTCTTTTTGATTATTTATCCATAGTATCTCCTGGACTGAGTTCAAGCTTACCTAGTTCAGACTACTTCAAATCAATTTTTTCTACCTTAATCAGATTGCTCTCTTCTATGTCATATTTCATTTGAAGTCAATTACTTGGCTTATTTAAGAACTGGTAAGGATACAAACTACTGTACTGAGTGTTCGAGGAGATAAGTGGAGATAAGTAGAAGGCTGCTCTCTGACTTTTAGTACTTGAGGTGACAATATACATGAAAAAGATGAATAGGAAGGAACACAAGGAAGGGTGGGGCAAATTATACAGAAAGTGTGGGAGGAGTTTGAGATTATCGTGGTTGATCTTTGATTTTTTAAAAAATCTGATTATTCTACACTCAGGAACAAGAGAATTACTAAGAGTTGCAGGACAGCACTGGTATTATGGCTGAGAAAATAGGTCCAGAGATATAAGTGGTCTAGGGGCACAGCTATGGAGGGCAAAGATTCCCTGTTTCCTGGTCTGTTGCTGTTTCTAAATATGTTTCTAAATATTTTAAAGTATTTTAATCAGTTTATAGTTGTTCTTTCTAAGTTGACAGTTCAGTGTAGCTAGTTAAGCACTGGGCTCTAAAGCCAAAATGTTTGGGTTTGAGCCCTGGCTTTGCCAGTCACTATCTGTGTGACTTTGGGCATGTCGTTTATCTCTATGCTTCAGTTCCCCCATCTATGAAATGAGTGTAACAGGGGCGCCTGGGTGGCTCAGCCGGTTGAGTGTCCAGCTTTGGCTCAGGTCATGATCTCCCAGTTCGTGAGTTTCAGCTCTGCATCAGGCTCTGTGCTGACAGCTCAGAGCCTGGAGCCTGCTTCGAATTCTGTGTCTCCCTCTCTCTCTGCTCCTCCCCAGCTCATGCTCTGTCTCTCTCTCTCCTTCAAAAATAAATAAAAACATTAAAAAAATTAAAAAAAAATGAGTAAAACAATACTACCTTATTTCAACATTACCAACAAATAACTTGTTATATGTAAAGGATGAAAAACTGTAGTTTTATCATTGTAATTGATATTAGTCTCTGAGAGAATGGAAAGCAAGAAATCCATTGTTCTAATGTTTTTTTCTTTCTTTTGCTTCTTTAAAAACGTCCTTAAATCGTCCAGATGGCTGCTTGTTAGCTACCTTAATCCTATCAGATAAAAACAAGTTTTTGTATCTCAGAAGTGAGAGTTGGAATTTGCCTAAGTCTGGCCTAGTCTGGTAACAGGAATGTCTAGGAAGGTAAAAAGTGAGATAGAAACAGATTCTAGGACCAACAGAATTTCTTCAAAAAAGTCAGTCAAGGGGCACCTGGGTGGCTCAGTCAGTTGGGCAACTGACTCTTGATTTTGGCTCAGGTCGTGATCTCATGGTAGTGAGATAAAGCCCCACGTTGGGCTCCACACTGGGCTTGGAGCCTGCTTGGAATATTCTCTCTCTCTCTCTCATCTCTCTGCCCCTCCCCTGCTCCAGAGCCCTCACACTCACTCATTCTCTCAAAATAAATAAATAAACTTAAAAAGTCAGTCAAGATCAATAGATGTAGAGAAAGATGGAGGTCAATGAATCTAATTCCAAATGAGATTTCCCATCTATTTTAAGGTCTATTCCAAACTTCCTTAAGACAAAATCTAGCCTTTTAAGGCAAGTGCAGAGAAATGCTCCCTGGGCTTCCTTTCAGGGAATGTTTTAGCAGGTGCTGCATTCCACCCTGGAGGTGGCTGCATGAATTTGTGAACTGAGGTGACAACATTGACTCCCTCTGGAAGAAGAAATGCTGTCTCTACACAGGAAGCTTAACTGCAAAGGCACTACTTGAAAAGGGGAGGAGGAGGAGGAGGAGGAAGAGGAGGAGGGGGGGAGGAGGAGGAGGAGGGGGGGAGGAGGAGGAGGAGGAGAGGAAGAAGGAAAAGAGAAAGCACAGCAAGGCTGCTGCCAACCCAGTCACAGCACAGTTCAATATTCAGATTAGAGAAAACAAGAACCATCCCCGCCCCCGGCCTCCACTCCCCCCCACAGTACCCTTTTCTCCTCTCCTTAAATGCTTGTTGAAAAATTCTGGGACGAAGTACAAGTCAAGAACGCGGTCGGAGAATTAGGGAGAGCAAGTAAGTGGAGGTGAGAAAGAACCTATATTCGGGTAGTTAGAAAAATCATGGATGGGGAGGGAGCAAGGATTTGGAACTACCTTAAGCACCGTCCATCAGGAAATCTAGGGATGTAGAAGGGTAGTAACTGGCCTTCCAAGTCTTCTGCATTTGGCAGATGAAAATCACATTGTCCGCCAAGTGGACTTTGGCACTCAGGCGGTATCAGGGTAAAAATCAGCATCAAGGAAGGAGGGAATCTTGAGTGAAAAAGAAATAACAACAGATCAGTCTTGGGTTCTTGTGTGAGGGGATATGTGAAGGTAAGGCCCACCCACAGCATCAGCAAACGTGGAAGAACTGAGGGTCACTGTCGGCAGACGAGCCAGCCCCAGTTTGGGGTCACAGCCAACGGCTTGGATCTGCTGGTACCCTAGAATCTGCCCTGAACACAACGTTTAAGTTTCTCGGTTTGAGTCCTGCCTGTAGATTCCCAGCCGGGACACCGTCTTATTAAGCGCTCTCACTGCGCCTAGCTCAGAGCTGACCGCCGAGCGGTTCTCAACAACATCTGGGAGCAAAAACGGCTTTTTGAGGTTGGCGGCGGAAGGGCACAGGTTCTACTCAGAGTTGGCGTTCGACTGTGGCCTCGGACCAATTGCCAGCAAAATTCTCCCGAATACCCCTCCTCTTCCACCTTCTGCCCAGGTGACGTCGGTAAGCCCCGCAGGACCGGCCAGAGGCTAAGCGGTTAAGCCGCGTCCTTCAGGTGTCAGCCTCTCGATCCGTTTGGAAACAACAACCCCCAGAATTCCTTGTGCAGGGAGGTCAAACCGCAAGTAAGATGGCTTCAAAAGGGTGGAACATACAGCAGTTTCCTAGTCCTTGGCGGTTTCTTTACCGGATATGTTTAAATAACCGAATCCCCACAAATGCACCACCCCACTAACCACCTTCGAGGCCAAGGAGGCCACCGCAGCCGCTTTGCTCGCTCCGTCAGGGGCATCCTGGGAGTTGTAGTCCAGCCGGTGGCTTGCGCCGAACTACCTTTCCCATGGTGCACCGCGGATCGGGTGATAAAAGTTCTTTTACAAAACTCTGTACACACTGAGACACCCCCTCCTGGGTCCCCTTCTCTCCCACGACTCCTTCTCGTCTGTCGCGACCGGGCGGCAGCAATAGGAGGGCCTCGGCCCCTCGCCGCGCCGTCCCGAGAGGCACTTCCGGCGGCGGTTCACTTCCTGGTTGGGTGGATGGAGCCGGGCGGGAGCGCGCGCGGGGGAGGGGCGGCGGGTCAGTCTCCGCTGGGCGCTCCGGGGATCAGCTGGCGGGCGGGCGGGCGCCGAACGCGGCCCCGGCTCTCGCTGCAGCGCCGCCTCCTCTCCGCGTCGCAGGCCGGCCCCGCGGCCGTGACAATGTTGCAGGGCTGGTAGCTGGGCGCCAGCCGCCGAGCCTTCTCAAGTGGGTGCCGCCGGGATGCTGCCTCGCGGGGCGGCGGGGAGACCGAGGAGGAGGGGAAGGCAGTGATCGGCTGGGTCGGCGCTGCCCGAGGCGGCCAGATCCTTCCTTTTTCCGAGCCGCGGGGACGGGGTCCGGCGCTCTGCCGGGATTTCAGCACCAGAATTTTTCTCGCTAGGAAAATGCATGAAGCGTTTCCCCGGGATGATGGCTTTTGCTCAGCGGTTGAATTCGTAAGTGCGTTACTGATTCATCCTCTCTTCTTCTGTCATCACAGGTTTAAACTTACGCGAATCGCTCTCTTGAGGAGGAGGGGACCGCGGCGCGATTGACACGCATATTCCTATTGGCATCCTCCCTCAGCCCCCACCCCCACGGCCGGATTCGGGTGGCTCCTCTCCGAGCTGAAATCCGAGAAGAAATCCTTGGATCTCTTGTTTTCTTAGAAAAAAAAAAAAAAAAAATCCAGAAACCTTCGGTATTTTGCTTTACTGCTTCCTATTCTCAAGATGAAGAAGTTTTTCGACTCCCGGCGAGAGCAGGGCGGCTCTGGCCTGGGCTCTGGCTCCAGCGGAGGTGGGGGCAGCACCTCGGGCCTGGGCAGTGGCTACATCGGAAGGGTCTTTGGCATTGGGCGACAGCAGGTCACTGTGGACGAGGTGTTGGCGGAAGGTATGGTGGGACTCTTTCAGTGCGCCGTGAATTAAAATCTTGTGCTGATGCAGCAAGACTGGTTTCTAGTTGTTCAGTGTATGAATGGGTTTTGACCAGTTGACCCTCCCTTCCCCCTTCCCCCTTCCCTTGCTCAGTGAATCATTGTCCTTGAAAATTTTAAAACTGAGGTTTGGAAGTGACAGGGCTTATGGGGTGGAAGGACGTTGCTGGAAATTGTTTACCTCAGTGACCTTTTATTATTTTTTAAAAATTGACAAGCCAATTCTTGTCTGCCTCACTGAATTACAAGGATCAGAGGGAAAACGTATGTGTGAAAGTGTAAAGCTTCACATCAAATGTAGGGTGCTGGGCTTGTCATCCTCCTTAAACTTGAAATATTGATGTGAGGGCTGAAGGGTGGAGATGGAGTACCTTTAAGAAGGGAGAGGGGTTTCTCCTACCCAACTTTCCCACTCTCATGAGCACGCACTGGAGGAAGAGAGGATTTTCAAAGAATGGGAATATGTTTTTCTAATAGCCAAGGCTCTTGGTGAATTTGACTAGTTTTGTTTCCTGACCCAACTGTAATCAGGTCCCCAGGATGTAGCTAAGATAACAGAAATTACACGAGATGAATGTGGTTATTTTGAAACCAGTCCACTAGGCCCCTCTTCCTCCTGTTTTAGTTTTTATTTTTTAGCCAAAAGAATTACTTGAGAGTGACATCTGATTTTTATTTTTCTTCTGTTGGAGAAGATGTTATTTAGATCTGCTGTGTAAATTCCCTACATGTGTGTTCATCTGTGTATCTATAGATATGTAAATATATGTTTTTTATCCTCCAGGCTTTCTGGAAATCTTTGCATGTCTCTTTTGGTAACCTTAACCTCGACCTTCATAATTACACCAGACTCATACTTTTCACAGCCCATTGCCTGCCTTGTGTGCTTTTATTTTTAATAAAAGCAGCGATTTCCTTGGCATGAAGCTATTCAAGCTAATTGAATGGGGCCAACCTGCTGTAGGTTGTGTTATCGGTTGAGAGGGGATTGGGGAAGGGGGATGCCACTGTTACTGCAACATGGTGGCTGTGGGGGGACAGTTTATTAGCTGGAGTGGAGCCTTTTTTGCAAGCTAAGGTTGAAGCAAGGGTCCTAACCTGGGCCTGGGAGATCCCTGTCATGGTGAGTGTTGTGGGAGGGTGGGTTAGGAGGAGGAAAAAGCTGTGTTTGACTCTCAGCTTGTGCAAGTACTGGGTTCAACCGGGCCCAGTTTTCTGGGGTTAGGGTGGAAGCCTTTACTTTAAAAGCACTTTAGAAAAAAAAAGATCTGACAATTAATGTCCTTGTGAAATTGTTGCTCTTTTCCATTCTCAGCACTGCTCTAGCTGGACTTAATCCGGGGCCTGAGTCACTGTCCCTCTGGATCTTTCCTTGTGGGCTTTGGTGCAGGATGGGAGATGCTTCTGTGCCCGCTGCCAGATCCGCACCCTTGAGTCTGATCTGTCTCTTTCGTTCCCGTGCCAAAGCCCTTGACTGCAGTGGGATGGAGAAATAGAGAAGGAGTGTGTGAGAGAGAAATCAGGAGGAATGAGGGGCACAGAGCTCTTTCCTTCTCTTTGAATGGCCTCTGCTGACTTTATAGCCCGGGAGCATCTGGTTCAGCTAGGATATTGTCTCCTTGTACGTGGGGCTACCCTAAGCAGTACCTGTTCTCAGAATCTGAATGATGGGGAAGATAAAAGGAAAATTGGTCTTTGTCATCTAGGCTGTCCTCCTCTTCCCTGGAATTCATCCCTGAGAATTGCACATCACGCATTATGATATTTTTAAGTGGAACTTAGGGCTTGCAGCTCTGCATTCATTTATTTGTTCATTCAACAAGCAGTTATGGAGTGTCTATGATGTACCAGGCACTGTGCTAGACCCTGGAGGTATGACATAAAACTAGATGCTAGAGTTTACAAACTACTTTGAGAGATGGAAAACAGCCAGTTAGAATAGAGTGATATGTGCTATGGAGATGAGCTTAGGGTGCAGCGGCCCTCAGTTTTAGAGAGCCAAGGATTGCTTTCTGCAGGAAGTGACTGACCAAATGAGTAGGAGTTATCCAAGTGTGGAGACAGCATGGACAAAGACTCAGAGCAGCAGGAGAGAGTCTCACGTAAAACTGGGTCTGGTGATATTGTTCTTTTTATGTTCTTTAACTGAGACTTTGCATTTGTGGCTCTTAGAAGTATATAGCTATGTAGGAGTCAGTATACAAAGTATTTATGTAGCGTCCACTAAGTAAAAAGGCACTGCTAGGTTCTGAGAGGGATATGGGGAGTTCTAAAGGGTGATGTCTGCTTTTAAGGAGCTGTCACAATTTGGGAAGACAAGGCAGATACTCACACATACAGTACAGCACGGTTACCAGCAGTGTCTGTGTAGTCAGGCAGATCTAGGTTCGAATTCTGCATCTGTTCTTTACTAGCTGTGAAACCTTGGATAAGACTTTTCAAGCCTCTCTCAAATCTGTTTCCCTATGACAGTGGTTCTCAAAGTGTAGAGCCTGGATCAGGAGCATCAGCATCATCTGGAAGCTTATTAGAAATGCGAATTAGGCCTCACCCCATAAACCAAGAGTGTGGTGGGGCTTTAACAGATTTCTGGAGAGATTCTGATGCAACTAAAAGATCAAGAACCCTTGTCCTGTGGAGTGGTTGTGAAGATTAAATGAAGCAATGTATATGAATTATTTAACATTTTTCAGGGGTTCAACGAGCGGCAGCCATTATTTGCCAGCAACATTACATCCTATATATAGTTCAGGGGAAGTGAAGGGGCATTGTGAAGGCTAGTTTGGCTACAGCGATCTGCAGCTATCCCATTCCCTATTGTGGGTGGACAGAGTCAGATATTTTTCTGCAGAAGCCTCACTAGCTCCGTCAAGGGTCAATAGATATTTTGGGTAGCCATGTTCCTTCCTGTACCCTTTCCTTTTTGAGTGTCCAGGTGCTGCCCTAACCACCAGTCCCAGCCAGAGTTGTCCAAGGACAACTGTGCGAGTGCCCAGGACAGTGGCCAGGCAGTATGGGGAGGGTGGGCTTTAAACATAGACTCTTTTCCCACCACATCCCACCTATCACCCCTGTTTCTCTGATGTGGGTGTTGGTCTCTGCTTTATAGTGAGGAGTGCAGGAACACCGAGGAGGAGCTGCTGTAGTAATAAAGGAGAACGTCTGGGCTGCCATCTCCATCAGCAGCATCAGCACTGTTCATCTGCTTTCACTAACTAGTCACTGAGGGCTTGTTTGGGAGAAGTGAAGCCTCTACATCATGAATTCAGAAGGATATGGCTATCTCTAGGCTGGGTGTAGAGGGAGATATTTTCTCTTTAGCTTCCTTAGTAAAGATGCCATGATGACTTCCTAATCATGTCTAAGGTAATGGGCATGTGATGTCAAGGAAAGACTTGGTTTAAGCTTCCAGAATAAGCTCCATGGGAAAATAGGAGCAGTGCTCAGAGAAGGACTGAAGAGTAGTGCCTTTGTCATACATCCTTAGCTATGTGAGGCCTTACGTTCTAAGCTTTAAATAGTACATGTTTGTCAAATACCTACTGTGTCCAAGACCACATTCCAGAACTGCATCAGTTCTGTATAAGGTGGGTCACGTGCCCCTGCAGAGCAGTTTCCTTACTTATACTAAAGGAATCCAGGTCTAGAGTTAACAAGAACTACTAAGTGAGTTTCCATACCAGTAAGCTGACGATTTCTCCTCCCGACATCACAAGGTAGTGAGGCTTAAAGGTGTGTGTGAAACGACCTAAAACAAACATATGTATACGTGTATGTATGTATGTGTATACACATGCATATGCAGCATAATTCTAGTGTGTTGGTATTGATGTGATACATACATGTACTCATTTAGTGAATTTTCGTTAGGCCTTTGTGGTAGGCACTGCATTAGGTTCCAGAGCTACTGAGAAGAACAGGATGTGGGCCTGGATCTTCAGGTGCTCACAGACCAACAAATAACCCTAAGATCAGTGGCCAGCACTTAGCATGGCTCTTGGTACATACTAGATGGTAAAAAGATGTTATGCGGTGATAAAGAGAGGGCCTGAGGGTGAGGGTTTATAGATGATGTCTGGTTTGAACAGGAATGGAAATTGCCCAGCAGATGGTCCAGATGAGGGTTGCCCAATGCCTTCCCTGCAGAAAGAGGAGCATATGCAAGTGTGGAGTGGTGAAACAGTATGATGAGTTCAGGAATACTGACGAGTCCAGTGTTATCATTTGGGTTAGCACAAGTTTCCCTTCCAGAATCAAGGAAAGAAGGGCATAGAATGGTAGAAGGAAATTCTGCATTTGTTCCCTGGCTATTCCCTTGCTGTTCACTTTCTTCACTTGCTGGGTTTTTTGAGTAACTATTGAGTAGCTGTCCATTATGCACTGCTACCCTGTGTGCCTCAACCCTGTGCTCTTTGTGGGGCAAGGGAGGGGATAGTGTCTGGGAGAAGGATGGTCCTGAAGGTTCCGTGAGAGGCAGGCAGCTTGAAGGAGAAGTAGGTGGGGGAGAGGGATGACCAGTGTTACAGAAGAGAGTGGACGGGGGAAATAATGACGATGATTGACCAGAGCAGAAGGTAGGTTGGAGAGAAAAGAGGAAATAAGGTTATGGAGAGCGTTAGTGCCAGGCAGAGAGTTAGTTACAAGCACCTGAGGTCTTCTCTGACGCAGACACCAGTTTGATCCCTCCCACTTCAGATGTCTTTGCCTGCTGGGAAGTCTGGTTTTTTAGTGGCAACTGCAGATTTTCAGGGGGTGGTTTGTGAATGGTGTCTTCTTCCTGGCTTCAGGCATGATGACGGTTATAGCTTTGCTAAATATAGCCAAATCTAGAATTCAGAAATGAAATCCAGAATAAGCAGTTAGTTGCATGGTCAAAGCCTTTCTTTTGGTCTAGCAAAGTCACACTCATTTAATGAGAGATGATGAAGAGAAACAGTTTCACGTGGGTTTTGAGTGG